CCTCCTCCTCCTCCTCCTCCTCCTCCTCCTCCTCCTCCTCCTCTTCCCTTTAGTTGGGTCATGAAACGTCTGCAAGAAAACCAAGCTCAAGACAGCACCAAGCACCTTGCACAATTAGACCCAATTTTCAATCCAAAAGTAAGTCTTACTCTATGTCCATTCAGCCATTCGGGCTGAGATACTGCAGTGATTCAAAAGGCTCCTGATATAGTCCTGCCAGGACTGTATCATTTTCAGAATAGAAAATTCCACGAAGGGATGTCATCTAACCTTAAAAATCAAGCTACCTTGGAAAGAGCGCAGTTTCTTATTATATTTATTCTTCCTGGGAAGTGACCCTCGATGAGGAACATGTTCAAATGTGCCACTTTCAGAACACGTCCATTCCCAGAAGAAGATTTTAAGCAATGCATAATTTTTCCAGTTATTCAAACCTCCTAAAGAGAGCACACCTTTAAAACTTCTGTTATTAAAATACAATTTATTAAATCTTACCGTTTCCCTGAAAATATGACCTACCCTGAAAGTAAGTCCTAACTTGATTTTTACACATGCGCCCAATATAAGCCCTACCCCCCCAATAAGCCCTAATTAAGATCCCACCCACACCAGGATGGACGGGTAAAAATTAAGCTAGGGTGCGGATGAGGGTGGTGGAACTGCCCTACTACTTACCTTAGGACAGTTGTAGCCAGGCCTTGCACACCCCGACACCTGCTTTGCCGGCCCATTTCTTCTGCAGCTGGCAAGGCTTTCGTGAAGGGCTCTGTAGCTCATAACAAAGTTCTGGATCGATCCAGAGCTCAGTTATTGCCTGCAGAGGCCTTCGGGAAAACCTTGCCAGTCACAGAAGAAGTTCCTGAAGGCGTCTGACAGTGAAAAGGAGGCTGGGGGCAACACACGGAAGTGAGGTTAGTCAGTGGATGACATCCCCCCAAAATAAAATCTGGTGCCTTTTTTGGTGCCAAAAAATATAAGACAGGGTCTTATTTTGGGGGAAACATGATATTTGCCAGGTATCCTGTGCCTCTCAGCTCTCTCCTGAGTAAATGTGCAAAGCATTGGTCTGAAAAACTTACGTTCTACCAGTTCTGTCTCATAAGTAAATGATTCAATTTACCTCACGGTTTGCAGGCTTCTCATTCACTGCTCAACTGCGCAGTAGAGAATTCAGAACAAAAATATTAAATATGATTTCTAACTTTTGCAGCCAACGCAGATGTGCTGAAAGCCATGGTGGCTGATAATTCGGTCTGCGATCCAGAAAGGTAAACCATCTCATTCCAAATGCTTTTTCTCTCTTCCTTAAGCAGCCTCAAATAAAGGGGAGGGAATAACTCCTCGAATCTTTCTGCTAGTTCGATTTTTCACTGTAGAAAATTTGATTTCAAGTCTGCCAGTATTTTGGATATAGCCCAGCCTTCTTTTAAAAAAAAAAATGTTTCATGGGTGTGTTTTAAAACATTGGCTGATCTCACAGCTGGCTTCATGAAGCTGAAAATAGCAATAAGGTTTTGCATGTTGAAGCCATGGTATAATTCAAGAAAATAAGAATATGTGGTTCTTGAAGGCGTGATTCCATCAATGTAACTGTAGCCGGTTCTTGTAAAGGAGCTTCAAATGTAAATTTAGCCAAAAGATATTGGACAAAAATACACACGTGGTTGGAAAAGATAATACAGCAGCATAATGATTTAAAACCTGAATATTTCTGTTGGGGATTATACCGGAAACATATAGTAAAGAAAAGGTATGCTTAATTATTCATGTATTGACTGCAGCTAGAATTGTTGTCAAGCCCAAAATTGACATATGTGTAGCCATTTTATTTAATCTTATTTTGTATTCCTTTCTTTCTTTCTCTTTCCTGGTTATGGGGGGGAAGGGTTTCAGGCTTGCCACATTCCTAAAGTGGGAGGAGTAGAGATAGAGTTGTTTAGGCTAGGTGGTTCTTCTTCCCGTGGGAATGAAAGCTGACCCTACTGAGACCTGGAGGTGGAGATTGACGACACCAGGCAACATTGATTTCATTTCTATTGGGGAATGTGACTTTTGGGAGTTGTTTCTAATTTCCAATATTATGTGGTGTAATTCCGGATTGTGTCAGATCCGGAATTACAACAGACTTTGCCAATTTGATGCTTTCCTAAATAAAATAAATTGTTTTGGAAGTTGGACTTTGCTCTTTTCTTTTGAAATGTATTTCATCATTTGGAATCCTGACAATTGTATTTGCACAAAATTGGAAAAGTGAAGAGATTCTTACTGATGAGAGCATGATCAGAAAATATTAGAACTAGAAGGAGATAGATAAGGAGGACGAAAGACGAGAACTAGGAGATAGATAAGGATGGGGATGGAAGAAGAGAAGAATAGAATCAGAAAATTCAGAGCAATTTAATTTCAAAAGTAATGCTTGCACATTGAGTGTTGGTTTCACTTTGGGATGAAGGCATTCCAGATTAACAAAAACTTTGTGGAACAAGATCATTTAGGAAAAAAATGTGTGTTTGGAAATCATGTAGGTAGGGTATGAGCTCAGGAAAAAAAAATGGGGAGGGGAGTTACTTCATCAACTGCGGACCCTAAATGTCATTTTTTTTTGCTGTATTTCTGCTCCTAAACTTAGCCCAACGACTCCAGGCAGCCCAACGAGTCCAGGTTCTCCGTTGTCTCCCGGAGGCCCTTTGTCAAAACACACTTGCCGAGGAAACCACTTGCACACCATTGGCGGCGTGGCTGGGACAGGCACTTGTTCTCGTTGCAGCCAGAAACGGTGGAATCTCTTCAGTCCGAATAAAAGAGGCAAAGAAGCCAAAAGATCCCGTCATGGACATGTCACCGTGCTCTCCGTGGGAAGGTAAGTTGGCTTGATTTCAGGAGAAGAGCGTGGCCCAGTTGGCTTCCGTTTGCATGCTGGTAATAGAGCAGAGGAGAGCCAGTACAAGACTGTGGGACTTACGCTGAGCTTACTCAGTTAAAACACAGATGTATCATCAAGGTGTGTAGTGGTTAAGGCACCAGGCTACAAACTGGGAGAATGTGAGTTCTAGCCCTACTTTAGTCATGAAAGATGGCTGAGAGACTTTGGGCCCATCACCAGGAGACTGTGAGTTCTAGTCGCACTTTAGCTATGAAAGGTAGCTAGGTGAATTTGGGCCAATCACCAGGAGACTGTGAGTTCTAGTCCTCTCTTCGACATGAAAATGAGCTGGGTGACCTTGGGCCAATCACCAGGAGACTGAGTTATGAGTTCTAGTCCCAGTTTAGCCATGAAAGGTGCTGGGGTGACTTTGGACAAATCACGAAGAGACTATGAGTTCTAGTCCTGCTTTAGACATGAAAATCAGCTGAGTGACTTGGGGCCAATCACCAGGAGACTGTGAGTTCTAGTCCTGCTTTAGACAAGAAAATCAGCTAGGTGACCTTGGGCCAATCACCAGGAGACTGTGAGTTCTAGTCTTCTCAGACATGAAAAATCAGCCGGGTGACTTTGGGCCAGTCACCAGGAGATGGTGAATTCTAGTCCTCCCTTAGATATGAAAGGTGGCTGGGTGACCTTGGGAAGTCAGTCACTCTTTCTCAGCCCAACTTATTTCCCTTGTGGAAAAAACAAGAGGCGGATGATATATTGGGTATGTTCATCGCCTTAAGTTATTTCTAAAAGTAATAATGGTTGAACGAACGAATGAATGAATGGTTGAATGAATGAATGAAAATAGAACAAGCCAAAATTGGCAAGGGACAGGAATGATTGCATTATTATTTTTTCCAAGATCCTTTTCAACTATGAGTTGAACTTTTCCATAATATCAACCCTGCTAGATGAATTCACGTTCTTTTTTAATTAATTGCATTGTTCCAGATTTCGGGTTACCAAAGTGGAACAGAAGTCTGCTGCGAAGGACCGAAAACACTTGGTGTCTGTCAGCGGAGGCCAAGCTGGTGATGTGTCCTCTACTCCTGGGAAAGAAAGCTCCAAAGAACAGCCAGCTTCGCTTCCTGTCACACCGGAATCGAAAGAGCTGAAATCAGCACCGACCAAACAGGGAAAGGATGTGAGTTCGGATTCAGGGTAGCAAAGTTGATGGCAGGACATCCCAAGGTCAGTAAGCTCCAACCAAATCTTTTGTCACCAGTTCTAGAAGTCCTTAAAGGCCCCAAAGACCTCAGATTGTCTTCCCCAAAGGAAAAAAGATTGTAAGCAACGAAATTCTGTAAAGTTAGCCCTTCATTTTGAGTTATTGACATTGTTAATGTTCAGAGTTTTGCAGCGTTAATTCAGTGCCAGATGGCTGATGCTTCATTTCACATCTTTATAAACATAATAAGTAGATTTTACAAACCAGTTGTAGATTTCTCCAACATGGAGCAAACTCAGACAGAAACATGTTACAAGTTCAGAGCAGAGCTCCAGTCTTCAGCAAGCAAGTTATTTTCATCTTCAATAGACAAGACTGAGAGCTCAACATAGCTTCAGAGCTGCAGAGCTTAATATAGAGTTACGCCTAGGCTACTTCTAGTTGGTTTCCTAGGCTACTTCTAGTTTCAGTTTCCAAACAGTTCTCATTGACTGACTTAGTTGCTATGCCTATTCATTGGCTGACTTCATTACCATGCTCTATTCCAGTTCATGAATATACTCTGATAGTTAAGTGAGGTATTTCTTAAGCGAGTTTTGCCCCGTTTTATGACTGTTCTTGCCTTGGTGGTTGAGTGAATCACTGCAGTTGATAAGTTAAGTAACCCAGTGGTTCCGTGGAATTGGCTTTGCTTGGTCAGAGAGTGAGGACAGGATTCCTGGACGTTACTACTACCGTCATAAATATGAGTCAGTTACCAAGTGTCTGAATTTTAATCGTATGATGATGGGGATGCTGCCAGAGGTTGTAACTCTGAAAAGGGGTCCTAAGTCCCTTCTTTCTGTGCCCTTGTAATGCTGAACGTTGGCTAAATGAACTGTTGTAAGACAAGGACTACCTTTCCGTCCTGTTGGGTGGGGATGATGTAATTGGAAAGAGGTAGTCCAGGGCCGTCTTAACAGCATTATGGGCCCCGGGCAAAGCAGTGTCCTGGGGCCCCTGTGACAACAACTCACAGGAATGGTTGATAAAATTAAACATATATTTATTTTATTGGCACTTCCAACAAATAAATATGGAATAAATAGGTTGCTGTATTTAGATGATACAAGGTGCACTGAAAGGTTAACATACAGAGATTAGTATGGGGCCTCTATGCTCGTGGGGCCCACAGGCAAGGGCCCATCATCCATCTTTCCTCAAAAATATGACCTACCCTGAAAGTAAGTCCTAGCTTGATTTTTATACATGCACCCAATATAAGTCCTACTCCCAAAATAAGCCCTAATTAAGATCCCACCCACTCCAGAGTGGACGGGTAAAAATTAAACTAGGGTGGGGATAGGGGTGGTGGTGGACTGCTCTACTACTTACCTTTGGACAGTTGTAGTCAGGCCTTGCACACCCCGACACCTGCCTCGTCGGCCTATTTCTTCTGCAGCCGGCAAGGCTGGCAAGGCTTTCCTGAAGGCCTCTGTAGCTGTTAACAAAGCTCTGGATTGAACCAGGGCTCAGTTATTGGCTACAGAGGCCTTCAGGAAAGCCTGCAGAAGAAGTTCCTAAAGGCCTCCGACAGTGAAAAGGAGGCCAGTGGGGGACTCACACAAGTGAGGTTAGTCAGTGGATGACTTCCCCTGAAAATAAGACCTGGTGCCTTTTTGGGTGGCAAAAGAAAAAATATATATAAGACAGGGTCTTATTTTTGGGAGCACAATATTTTGTAGGATGAACAAGGACTGCCAACCTGACTCTTTTAACAATTGTATTTTTTATTCCTCTTCAGCAGGGTTAGAGAAAGCAAGAAAGACCATTGGAAAGGGAAAAAAAAGACTTTTCAAGGAGCTATTTGTGAATGCCACGCCATGGGCATCTTTCACTAACTGAATCTCTGCACCGTTCGGCCCCAGATATTTAACATATTGTTAATAACGGAATATTGAATGGCATTTATTCAACTGAAGGTTACCAGAATGTACTGCCTGCAATTTTATATATGTGTGTTTTAAAAAAACGCCTCTTTATTTTTATTTTTCCTCTGACAAAGCAAGAACTTAATGAAAATTCTCTCTTGGAAATGGGGGGAACCCCCCCCAAAACTCTTTCCCCACCCCAGATCTCTTGTATGCGTCGCACGGCCTGAAGTCGAAGCCAATTGACCAAAGCAAATGACACAAATCATGTAATCCCATACTGCTCGTTCCTTGAGAACAGGAGAAGGGAAATGGGGAGCCGTCTTTTCGCCTTAATTTATTGTGGCTGCTAAATAATACACTCCTTTAATTGCATGGATTCAGTGGCTTTACTATAATTGCTCTTTGGTTCTCAAAACCGAATTTAGCTTATTTTTCTAGCTCGGTTGAGCTGCTGATTGAATTTTGTAGATGTAGCTGAGAACTACCCTGTTTCCCCCAAAATACGACCTACCTTGAAAGTAAGTCCTAGCTTGATTTTTACACGAGCCCAATATAAGCCTTACCCCCCAAATAAGCCTTAAGTTCCCATCCACTCCAGAGTGCATGGGTAAAAATTAAGCTAGGTTGGGGCTTGGATGGTGGAGCTGCCCTACTACTTACCTTGGACAATTGTCTTGCACACTCTGACACCTGCCTTGCCAGCCCATTTCTTCTGCAGCTGGCAAGGCTTCCCTGAAGGTCTCTGGATAACAAAGCTCTGGATTGATCCAGAGTTCTGTTATCGGCTGCAGAGGCCTTCAGGAAAGCCTTGCTGGCCACAGAAGAAGAAGTTCCTGAAGGCCTCGGACAGTACGCATGTGAGGTTAGTCAGTGGATGACGCCCCTCAAAAATAAGACCTGGTGATTATTTTTTGTGGCAAAAAAATAAGACAGGGTCTTATTTTCGGGGAAACATGGTAGTTCAAGGCTAGGTGTGCAAATGTATTCTTAACTTTCTTACTGAGGTCCTTTCTTTGGGCAAACTGTGCCAGTAAAAATGCAGCCGGTCCTCGATGTATGACCAAAATGGAGCCCCAAATTTCTGTTGCTGAGTGAGAAAGCTGTTAAGTGAGTTTTGCCCCATTGTGCAACCTTCCTTGCCACGGTTGTTCCCGGGACACTGCAACCGTCGTAAATGTGATTCGGCGCCCAAGCGTCTGAATTTTTGACCCCAGGGATGCTGCCACGGCCGTAAATGTGAAAAACATGCGTCACTTTTTTCAGTGCCGTTGTAACTTTGAATGGTCACTAAATGAACTGTTGTAAGTTGAGGACTACTATATTCCGCTGAGTCAGCCGTGCTCTTTTTCACCCTTGTCACTCGTCCTTCTACCTGGTGGTGCCAATATATCTATGGCATTTGCCTAGGGGAAGCATCTTCTGTTGATATCGTTCCCTTCTGATATAGCTATTTTTGCTAGATCAAGATAGATCCAATCCCTAAATTTGGAAATGAAAAGCGTGATGGATGATCTCAATGAGTCTTTGCTCTAAATCAGAGGTGAGGAATTGTGACCCCTTTATGACTCGTGGACTTCAACTCCCAGAATTCTTTAATAAGCATGGCTGCCTCAGGAGTTCTGGGAGTTGAAGTCCACAAGTCATAAAAGGGCCAAGTTTCCATGCCGGCTCAGGAATTCTGGGAGTTGAAGTCCGCAAGTCATAAAAAGGCCATAGTTCCCATACCAACTCAGGAATTCTGGGAGTTGAAGTCCATGAATCATAAATGAGCCAAGTTCCCATGATGGCTAGGGAATTCTGGGAGTTGAAATCCATGAGTCATAAATGAGCCAAGTTCCCATGATGTCTAGGGAATTCTGGGAGTTGAAGTTCACGAATCATAAAAAGGCCAAGTTCCCTGTCTCTGCTCTAAATCATAATCCTGATTCTCAGTGGATTATTATTTAATTACGAATCCATTCTTGAGGGAAAAAAAAACTGCAAGTATCCTTCAGGTCTACAGCGAGTTGTACTAAAACCAGTTGTGTGTGTGAGGGTGTCTCTCTCTCTCACACACACATACGGCTAGGAAAGCTTTAAATCAATATTCACGTCTTCAGCGGTTGACCAAAATCTTTGGATTTGCGCAAAAGCATCGCTGTGCCTGAATAAATGTTTTTCTCTGTTGTAGCAGACAATGCTACTATTTTATCGAGAGGCTTGTGCAATTTATCAGCTGCCAAAGCGGAGAGGGTCTCACTTTTCACATTAAATGTAATTTAACTGTGCATTAAATGTATGTTAACCATTTGGTTTGGTTTGTGAGCATTTTGTACAATAAACTTTATTGTTCATTTTGAACAATAAAAGCAACAGAGCCCTTTTTAAACAGCGGTGTTGACGTCGTTTTCTCTCAACTTATCCTGCCCTTCGTGCGTGCTGTATCGTATTTTATTGGTTGTGGGGGCAAAAGTACTTTCCAAGGGTGGTGATAATACCTTGTTTCCAAAGGGTTTCCAAACCGCTTTTAAATTAAAATTGGAAAAAGACGTTTTCGACCCTTTCATGCCTTTTAAATCAAATAATGACATTGAACGAAAACATACACAGGAAGTCAATTCTACATGGAAGTACATAGCTCAGCCGGTATGTTAAATGGAATTCCAGATGGAAGACTGGGAATGAGCGTAGATTTGATTTTTGATTTAATAAAATATAATTGATAGAGAATATTTGTAGCTCATATTGAACTGTGGGGAACTTCTTGCTCTTCGAGCTTGGTTTTCTGGGCGATGTTTCACTACTCAATTAGGTAACATTATCAGTGCTAGGAGAGAGTGGGATTTGCTATCTGTTTATATATTGGTATATAAATACTAGTACATTAAACTGTGTATATCTATATAAAAGCGAAATGCCACTCGGGCGTCATCACAAAATCTCCAGAACTGTAAAGCCTACTAACTTGAAATTTGGCACGTATGTTCCTCTTGGCTTCTAGGTGCTCACTAAGAAAGGATTTTTCGAAATGACCATCAGAGCATTTAGAGTATTTCCTATATTATTGTTATTAACACGCTCTGATGCTAAAGAGTTCTACTCCCCCTCCCAACCTGAAATCGGTTCCAAATGCAAAACACAAGCAGAGGAGAGGAGTTTCAGTTTTAGTTTCACAGCACCAAGCAGCTTTAGTACAGAACTGTTGGGCTAAGCCACGCCCAGGCTCCTTGCTGTCTCCTTGCTCACACAGCAAATACTGTTTCACTTTCTAAACAGTCCTCAACTCTCACACACTGACAGGACGTTAGCCAGATGAATACCGATGGATGCTGGTAGGCAGAGGCAGAATTCCCCCCCCCCTTATTTTCCTCCCCAAAAACTAAGCCCAACCACATAGTTTCGTAGTGAAGTATGGGTATCGAGCTAGTTCCATAATATGAGAGCAAACGTCACTCCTACAAACTGATGATGTTACCCAGTTGGGTAATGAAATGACTGTAAGAAAACTACCAAGCTCAGAGAGCAACAAGGACCCCACAATAGATAATATTATGAAGCAAGCCATTCACTGGGGGAAAAACACTACAATGACCGTAAATAAGCAAAACACTTGATAATTTTTCTCAAAGGACAAAATACGAGAGCCAGCAGAACTGGTTTTGAAATCAGCAAGGATTGAAATCCATCCAGTATTGGGATAGTTCCATGGATACAGAAAAATAAGGCACTGTCATTTTTACATCCAGTGGGTTAGCTTATCTATATCCATAAGGTAAAGATAAAAGTTCCTCTTGCACATATGTGCTAGTCGTTTCTGGCTTTAGGGGGGCGGTGCTCATCTCTGTTACAAAGCCGAAGAGCCAGCGCTGTCCGAAGACATCTCTGTGGTCATGTGGCCGGCAGGACTAAATGCCTTCGAAGGCACGCACAACACTGTTACCTTCCCACCGAAGGTGGTCCCTATTTTTCTACTTGCATTTTTACATTCTTTCGAACTGCTCGGTTGGCAGAAGCTGGGACAAGTAACGAGCTCACTCCATTACGTGGCACTAGGGATTCGAACTGCCAACCTTTCTGATTGACAAGCTAAGCATCTTAGCCACTGAGCCACCGCGTCCCTATCTATATCCATACATATATACAAATCCTTCCTTCCTTCCTTCCTTTCTTCCCACCCATTCCTTCATCTTCCTCCCTCCCCTTTCTCCTTCCTCCCTCCCTTCCTCCCTCCCTTCCTTCCTTCCTCCTCTTTGCTAAAAAAACTCAAAGATACAGAGGGGAAATCCCAACTAGGCCAATATATATATATCTTTATATATATATATATAAAGACTCCATTAGCCACCATACACAATTGCTAAGAATCCAAAGTAAGGCCAGGACAGAGAATCATGGCGGAGGGCCTGGCTGTTTGACAAACTAGAATTCTGGCCAAGAATGATTAATATCATCCAGTTGCAGCTCCCATTTAAAAATATAAAGTGTAAAGCAACAACAACACCAAAAGGCAGTTGTTTCATTACCTGTTGGAGCAGATTTTTGTGAAGATACAAAGAAATCCTAGCCAGGAAAAAAAGAGGGGTTCAGAAAATGAACAGGTTAAAAGAAACAATGATAGTATGGGCAAAAAACTTTGGGTATATTATAGATTTAGACAAATGGCAAACGCTTTCAGAAAGAAATTGTCAGTTGACAATGGCAACTACATAAGGAAAATGTATATAAAATGTTTTATAGGTGGCATCTACCACCGGCAAGATTAGCAATGTAACCAGACACCAGGGACACAGGTGGCATGCAGGGCCATTTGTGCAGGCATGCGAGCCCCAGGCAAACTTACCTCACTGCGCATGTGTGTACCTCCCAGCTGATTTTTGGGCCTTTTTCGGCCTCCCAGAGGCTTGAGGGAAGCTTTTCCAGCCTTTGGAGGCTAAAAAACAGGCCTGTTTCGTCACTTCCTGTAAATACCGGCCCATTTTTCAGCTTCCAAAGGCTGCAGAGGCTTCCCACGAGCCTCTGGGAGGCTGAAAAGGGCCTGAAAATCAGCTGGGAGGTGTGTGCATGCGCAGTGAAGGTAAAGGGGCAGCAGGGGGGATCGTGCATGCGTGCACAGGGGGCATGCGCCCCCCCCGTGCACATTGTCTTCTGAGTGCTGGCACACAAGCGTGTGCGTGTGAGCGTATTCGCAATTTTTGACATAGGAGCCCAAAAAGGTTAGCCTCCACTGATCTAGATTATAAGCCAGAAATATTTTTTGCTAGGCGTAATACCTTCAAAGTACGATAAAGGGAACTTATACTTAATATTACATGTTTTGACAGCAGCAAGAATTGTATTTGCACAGTAGTGGAAAAAATGAGGAAACACCTACAGAGGGTGGTGAAAAAAACAAATAGATTGCGCAAAAATGGACAGATTGACATTAAAAATAAAAGAAAATGAAGATACAGAGTATTTTCAAACATGGGACTTTTTTTCTAAATGGTTGGACAGTAGAGGTAGAAATTAGGAGTGGGAAAAATATTATTGGATAAAAATAAATTGATATGGACACTACGCTGTTCACTAAGCACTTACGTATGTAAGTGTGAAAATATATAAACTGTTAAAAGAAAAAGAAAATAGTGTTTTAACATATAATTGCTTACTGCCTTATTTTTGGAAATGATCCTAAATTCTGGGCTTCGACTGCATTTTAATTCTCATTACAGCCACCTGCATATCTTTAATCCTGCAGGTGGCACTCTTATAATGAAGAAAAAGCAAGAGCAGAAACTGGTTCCAACTTTGCTTTTTAAGTTCATTAAACATTCCTTAAACAACATACCTTGGTTCTAATTTACATGAAAGCTGGGACATGACCACCAAAGAAAAAAAAAAAACGAGGATAGAAAAAGCTCGAACAGCATTATTCAAAATAAAAAAGGTCTTCTGCAGTCACGACATAAGCCTAAGATTGAAAATCAAGCATGTTCAGATGTTACATCTTTTCTATCCTGCTCTACAGAGTGGAGAGTTGGTCTCTGGACAGAAAACCACTTGAAGAGACTAGAAGCATTTGAATGAAAACTAGCTAGAATTGGCCCCAAAGGACTTAGCATCTGGCTTCCAGAGAGCCTCCGGAGCCTGGGGAGATAGTTTTCACCCTCCCGGAGACTCAAGGAAAACCTCCGGAGCCCGGGAATGGTGCAGGAGGCCGAGTAGGCCACGCCCACCATGGCCACACCCACCCAGCAACTAGGCAGAGAATCCGTGGCTAAAATTTTTGAAGCCCACCCCTGGGCAAAAGTCACTTAACGGGGGTCTCGCTTAAGCCACAGGAATTTGGCGCTCAGATGTGGTCGTGATATACTTCTCGTTTTGTGAAAACGAGATGCAATTTTTGGCCTCGCTTGAAATGGAAGAGCTCCCAGTTGGCACCTCTGCTGGTTGAAACTGGTTGATTTCCCAGGCACTTTGAACAGATGTGTGTGTGCTATTGGGGGGGCTAAAGTGGTACAGTCCCAGGGGTCTAATTGAAGACCTATCTGGGTTTTTTTTTTACTTGTGTGAGAAAAAGAGGAGAGTTTTCAGTTGAAAAACTTGTTTTAACCTCCAGCTGTGGATCTTTCTTTAGCTTTGAGATGAAGATAAGGAAGGTCAGTAAAATCCACTTTTAGTGTCAAAGTGTGTAGACGTGGTAGGAGAGCTGGGTCAGCCAATTAAAACTTCAGCCCTTTTAATTTGTTAATTGGATAAGGGGCCACTACATTTCTTGCTTTTTTTTCTGCCAATTTTGCAAGAGAGAATTTCAGTTTTCTGAAAAGGTAGTTGTTTTTTTTACCAAAACAAAACAAAAACCTGTTGTAACTTACCTGAACAAAGACTTTCTACAGTTTCCAGACTATTTCTTATCTTTTTAAAAAATGCAAATCTCCTGATATCATTTCATGCAAATTATCCCAAAGTCTTTTTTTTTTATATACCTTGGCTTTATCATTTCCTTGCACAAAGGAAATCATTTCCTTGCAGAAATTTCAACACCAAATGTTAAGTATCTTTAATTTAGTTTGGAAAAAAGGAAAGGAAAGGGAAGGGAGGGGAAGGGAAGGGGAAAGGGAAGAGAAGGAAAGGAGAGGAAAAGATAGGGAAGAGAGAAAGGGAAGGGGAAAGGGAAGCAAAGGAAAGGAAAGAAGGGAAAGGGAAGGGAAGGGGAAAGAGAAGGAAAGGAAAAAAAAAGGGAATGGGGAAGAAGGGGAAGGGGAAAGGAAAGGGGAAGGAAAACAGGAAAACGGAAGGGGAAGAAGGGAAGGGAAAAAACAAAGAGAAGGGAAGGGAAGGAAAAAGGAAAGGAAAAGGGAAAGGAAGGGAAGGGAAGGAAAAGGAATTGGAAAGGAGAAGGGGAAGAGAAGGAAAAGAAAACAAAGGGAAGGGAAGGAAGGGAAGGAAAAGAAAAGAAAGGATTGAAAAGAAAGTTTGACTCCCCTACTGAAGATAAGAGTTTGGAGACCATAGACAAGCCCTTGCAGCTTCAGTGTTTCAACATATGTCTCCTAAAGGGCATAAGATTACTTTTGAATTACCGGTCTAGTGTTTTTGAGTTCCTGACTTGATGCTTTTGTGGCCTTCTGCTTTCCTCCAAAAGAAAAAAGGATTGCCCCAAAGAGGGTTGAGCACCAAATATCAGTAATGGCTTACAATCACCAGCCTACTTTCCCACCACTTCGAAACAGGACACACATAAAGAAAGAAAAACTATCGCATAAACTCTACAATCGGCTACATAGAATTTGTTTATTAAAAACAACCCCTCTCCCTCCAGGAATTAATGGAGAAATCCCTGTTCATTTTTTATTAAGTTTCCATCAAGAGTCTTCTCTCTGCCCTTTCTGGACAATGGACGCATCCTGCAAGCCATCAAAATGTAGGTCTTGAGAACCATTCCTTACAGAAGGATATGTTCTCCTACCATGGTCAAATAAAGAAGGCTTGGGCAAGGTCTTCTAGGGTAGAAGGTTGGTCCATGAACATTAGATGGGTGATGTTCATGACAGCTCATCCTGTGGCGCTGGCAAAAGTGTAGAGTGGACCCAATTACATCTACTGTCATTATATATCTGACTTGGTCTATGCATAGATTCCTTTTGTCATGCCCCTGTCGGAGTCTGAATCCGAGGGGGAAGACGAACAGCCGACAGGAAGTGGGAGAGTAGCTCCATTGGCTGTGGAGGAAACTGGGGAAGGGCAAAGTCAGGCTGGGCAGAGCAGGGGAGAGGTAGAACAAGAGAGAGGGGGTTCAGAGAAAGACCCACACTCATCCCCTCTTCATCCTAGGGCACGCAGGGAATAATAGAGAAGAGAGCAAAGTGGGTTGTGTGGCTTATGAGGAAGGAAAGGGCCCCGATTCCCTTCACAAGGCACACCTGGGGAGGGAGTTTAAAGGAGAGGCAGATGGGAGCTGTATTTGTTGGGAACAAATGTTGAGTTTATCTAGTGTTGGCTGCTGTTCCTGGCATTCTCCCAACTGGTTTGATTTCCTGCTGTGTTACTTCACTTCTGGAACTCCTTATCTTGGCCTGCTGGATTTATTACCTTATTTTGCCCTGGTTGGATTTATAATTTAAAGTTTTCTGTTTATAATGTTTGGATTGGAATATCTGCAGCCAAAGGCTGTTGCAGATTCCTGGGAGAGTTTTTCTCCAGCCTGGAAGGTAACCGGAACATTGGGGGCAAAGTTGGAGCTAATAAAAGGACCCATACTTATTCTCTGGCTGAGTTGCCTTTGTGCCATGCCCCAGATTATCACACCTTTGACCAGCTATGAACATCCTGAGCCCAGACCTCCAAGTGGCTTTCTCAAGTGAAGCAACCCCTTCTTGTTAAAGAGACACGTACGTATCATCACTACCCCAACAGCCATCTTAATAGTCTTCCTCCTCCTCCTCTTCAAAAATTTCATCAGCCGTAGCAGCCTCCAGGGCTGCCAGGGCCTCTGCGACGTCCGCGTCTTCTTCCAGTTCTCCGTTAACCTTGGTGAGGCCATCAGATCTAGCTTCCCAAGCAGGCTCTCTCTTTTTCCTCCCTGAGAGAATCTCGGTGGCTATTTGGTCCTCAAAAGAGAGGTCGAAAGGGCTTGTCCGCCAGACGCCGTCCCCTTCATCCGACTCCCTGCACAGCGGGTTCCAGTTATGGACGATGGTCGTGTTTTCCGTGCTTTGGTTGATTTGCACCAGGTGGTTTGGGAGGTTCTCCTTCCCAACAGTCCTCAATTTCTCAGCATGGTTGTCCTCGGGGAGAAAAGATGGATTATCCAACCAAACGTCTTCGTCTCGCATCTCTGGTAGGGCAAAAATGGGTTCGGCGGTCGTCTGAAAACCCTCCTCCTTGCAAAGAGCATTCGAAGTTTCCAAAGTCTGCTTGAGGTAATTTTCAGGATCAAAAATCTCGAGTTTATCACCTGTTTTTGGCTGGAAGTCTCTTTTGGCTGGAGGTTCAGGCTGCTGAGCAGAAGAGCTGTGCAGGTTAACCTCTTTCGGTTGGGTTTTATGATGAGGGGCGCTGAGATCCTTAGAGGAATGGATCCCATTCACGCTACATTTTACTACGGAGTTCCCAAGTCCTTTGTCTGGAAGAGCAGGGATTCTGTTACTCCAGAGAGCATCTTTGGAGTGGTGGAACCTGCATTGGTTTGCTGCAACCTGCATCTCTGCAATGTGGACTTCGTTTCTATGGCCCAGAATGTCCCTGTTCTGCTTGCAATGGAATTTCCCTCTTTCTTCCTCGTCTGGTTTGTAGAGGTTTATCTCATTGACGTAGGCAGCCGTCTGCACTTCTTGGGGATGGAAGATGTAGCTTGGGGAAAAAAATGAAGAATACCCAGTTATTCCATTTCTCTCTCCTTGTTACGGAGAAACCTGCTCATTTCGCCAGAATTTCTCACCTGAATTTGGAGCATCGTTTACCTTTGTGTGGTAGAAAAGCATGGTGCAACTACATTGAAATGGAATTAAAGTTAACTGACCACTGTCTTGATGTTTGGCAACGCAACTAAAAGAATCCCCCTTACTTCAATGTGCTTTCACTTCTAGTTGACTGTTTAATAGTGTCCGTTGTGGGAAAAACTAATTAACAAATATCTATCTATCCTCAGTATCTATCTATCTATCTATCTATCTATCTATCTATCTATCTATCATCTATCTATCTATCATATCTATCTATCATCTATCTATCATATCTATCTTATATCTATCATTTGTCTATCTATCTATCTATCTATCTATCTATCTATCTATCTATCTATCTATCTATCTATCT